TTAGTCAGGGAGGTGACCAAGAACCCGATGGTCACTCTGACAGAGCTCCAGCGTTTCTCTGTGGAGAGAGGAGAACCTTCCAGAAGAACAACCATCTCTGCAGCACTCCACCAATCAGGCCTGTATGGTAGAGTGGCCAGACGGAAGCCACTCCTCAGTAAAAGGCACCTGACAGGCCACCTGGAGCTTGCCAAAAGGCACCTGAAGGACGCTCAGACTTGATGAAACAAAGATTGAGCTCTTTGGCCTGAATGGCAAGCGTCATGTCTGGGGGAAACCAGGCACCGCTCATCACCTGGCCAATACCATCCCTAGTGAAGCATTGTGGTGGCAGCATCATGCTGTGGGGATGTTTTTCAGCAGCAGGAACTGGGAGACTAGTCAGGATTGAGGGAAAGATGAATGCAGCAATGTACAGAGACATCCTTTAAGAAAACCTGCTCTGGACCTCAGACTGGGGCGAAGGTTCATCTTCCAACAGGACAATGACCCTAAGCGCACAGCCAAGATAAAAAGGAGTGGCTACGGACCACTCTGTGAATGTCCTTGAGTGGCCCAGCCAAAGCTCAGACTTGAACCCTCTTGAACATCTTTAGAGAGATCTGAAAATGGCTGTGCACCGACGCTCCCCATCCAACCTGATGGAGCTTGAGAGGTCCTGCAAAGAAGAATGGGAGAAACTGCCCAAAAATAGGTGTGCCATGCTTGTAGTATCATACTCAAAAAGACTTGAGGCTGTAATTGCTGCCAAAGGTGCTTCAACAAAGTATTGAGCAAAGGCTGTGAATACTTATGTACATGTGATTGTTTTTTTGTTTTTTTTCTAATAAATTTACAAAGATTTCAAACAAACTTCTTTCATGTTGTCATTATGGGATATTGTTTGTAGAATTGAGGAAAATAATCAATTTAATCCATTTTGTAATAAGGCTGTAACATAACAAAATGTGCAAAAAGTGAAGCGCTGTGAATACTTTCTGGATGCACTGTATGTTTAAATAGCTTATTTTCTTTTAAAGTCCCCATGGAATCAAAATTAAAGTTTTTTTTATTATTGTTGTTGTTTTTAAATATATTTATATTTGTTGTTATTTCAAGATGTTTATATTTAACCTTAACATCATTTGAATTAAAATCTTTTAGTTTTACCGTATGGAGGAAGCAGGACGTCGTTCAGTTGGGATTTCACTGGCAAGTTTGACAGGATTGTAGGGATAGAAAGCTCAACCAATGATGGTTTGAAAGAGGGACAAACACGTGGCGTTGCGTCTGATCCAGGCAAAAGGACGAGCTGCCGCAGTAAACCCTTAAGAAAGAAGACAGATCATACCAACAGGTATGTTTGTGTGTATGCTAATATATTTTAAATAATGCAAATTAAATAGCAATATCAGAATCCAACGCTTACAGAGAACAGGCCTTTCCACTTCCTTCGACTTCCAATGTGGAATCTAGAGCCATCAGTGCTGAGATCAGAGGGAAATGGCTGTTTATGGACCCTGAAACCCATCAGGGAAAGTACATAACTCACAGATCTCAACTTTGAGATTATATTATATTTATATATTATATTTTGTTTCTGAATGTATTTTTGTGGTTTGGAAAGATACTGCTTCACTATTTTTAATACTACTATGTAATAAAATGAAATTTGCATTTAATTTATCTAATTGTTCAAGAATTCAAGAGTGCAAGCGTATGTGCACATTTTGGCCAAAAAATTGTAACCAAAAAAATTAATTTAGCTCTGAGGTCATCTATAAGCCGTCACAGACTCACAGTTCCAGTGGGATGCCACAGTCCAGGGTGAGGGTGGCATGGTGACCGCTGATGGATAACACCATGCTGTGCCAGCGGTTGTCTGCCAGGCGTATTCTTTTAAAGCTGAGACGCTTCCTCCCCATTGAGCCCTGATAGATGAGATGCACTTTCTCTTTAGAGAAACGCATGCCAAGCAGGAGTTGATCAACATCCTCCTTCACCACAGCAAACAAGTACTCATTCTTCTGAAAAACAGCAAGCACAGATTGAGCTCATAGAGACAGGAAATATTCAGGTTTAGGTTTTATTTGTCTTTTATTTGGCTTATTCAAAATATCATTGATGTGATATTTTTAAATAAATAAAATGAAGTATTTAAAGAAATAGTTCTCCCAAAACGGAAAATTCTGTCATCATTTACTCCCCCTCATGCCGTTTTAAACTCGTATGACTTTCTTTCTTCTGATGAACATAAAATAATATATTTTGAAGATTGTTAACCAAAAAAATTTGGTTCCCATTGACTTTCATTATGAAATATAAAAGAAGATATTTTGAAGATCCATACGACAATTTTTGTTTTTTTCCTCACCAAAATATGTTTAAAATATATGCTAACTATATGTCGTAAACGGTGAAGCTCAATGAAATATACTTTTGAAACTGAAAATGTATTTAGTTTAAATCATCATTTACCAAAATATCTTTCATGTGACAAAAAATAAAAAAATTTTGAAATATATACACACACACACACACAAATATTTATTACACGGCTCTGTGGAATAC